CAAATATATGGATGAATTTTGCGCCCAAATTCGTGACTCGTCATCTTGTATCCGATTGGTTCGTTCATAGATTACAGTCTTGCCAGATTACCTTCTCTGTTCTTGGTCGATCTCTCTGCCTTACTATATTTCCCTGTCAGGTTCTTCGTTGTCATGTAGTTGTTTCATATTTCCTTCTGAAGTAGCTATTTATGCTGTCGTTGCAAGGTCTTTGACGCATTTCTGCTTGTCAGATCTAATGCTCTTCTTCACTTGCTTGTTTACTCTTATGTATTCAACTTGTGCCTTCAGTTTCTCTGTTCTTCTTCGACTGTTGTTAATTGCTGTCATCTTGTTCCTCCTTTCGTGAATCTTTTCCTTGTTTTCAATGGAAATTCATTCATTATGATGACACTTCTTGCGGTCTAGCTCCTCTTGACACGTTGAAGTTAGTGCTTCTTTGATCCTTGTACTATGGTCCTCCATAGTAGTTTCTTCTTAGAGTAGATAGTGTTAGTTTTGGAACATGTTGTTGAGCGCTGTTTTGAATTGGTCGAGTTTGTCGATAGGCTGTATTGAACCGTTGTGTTGTTGTTTCTCCAGATGTCCAGTGCTTCTTTATCTTTAGTTTCTTCTTGACAACCACTAGACGGTGATCCGAAACTATGTCAGCTCCTCTCTTGGTCCTCATCTCTTCCACTGACCTTCTGAACTTTTCAGTGATACAGATATGATCGATCTGGTTCCATGTAGTGTGATCCAGTGAGACCCATGAACTATGTGTATGTATTTGTGGGGGAAATAGTGCTACCGATAACCATTTTGTTGAATGCGCATAGATTTCCAAATCTCTCGCCATTCTCATTCCTTTCTCCTGGTCAGTTCATATTGTCCCACGATATCTTCATACCCAGTGTTGTCTGCTCCGACTTTGGCGTTTAGGTCTCTCATCAGAATAGCCATGTCCTTTCCTGGTCACTTCCCTACAGTCGAATGCAGCCCCTCATAAAACTGGTCTCAGTCGTCGTTTTCTACGGGATAGCTTTGCCGATTACATGCCCAACCCTCCTTCTCTACACGGACTTGGGACTGGCAGTAGCTGTATGAGAGCTACAGGCGGAGTTGATACATAATCTTAGTGAGACTTAAATCAACACGCGGTCAATTTTAATAATCTAGGAGACTGAAGTGTGACAAAATTCCAACAGAAACTGGTCGATGCGGTTATCTCATGTGCTATAATGCAACGTGTGAAACAGGCGACCAGGTACGACCCGGACAAGGAATCATCCTTAATAGTCTTCACACGAAACCATTATAAAGGTGATGTAACAATCCTTCACAACATGTCACCCAAAACTAAGAGTGAAATCGCGATTCTGGCCTTTGATTCACTTTTCGTTGTCAACGAAAATGTGCCAGCACAAATCAGACAAGACATCTTGGAAGAAAATACACAAGAAACTTATATATTCTGCATCTTCAGTAGATCGGACAGCAGATCAAGAATTCCTGATTTGAACGGTATGGGGGCATTCAGAAGTTTGTACATACAAGTTACTGCATCCCACATTTTTCGGACTACATCGAAGAGTCCCATAAACTCATCACTGACGTTCTGTAAAGAAATTTAATCCCTTCTTCACTAGAGAGATTTTACAAGAGAAAAAAGCTGTGGGGAAAATCTAGACTACTGAGTACTAACGAGACAAAATGTTGATATCCGGAAGCTCGAAATACTTATGTCAAGCCTCCTCAGGTTTAGAAGATTGTATGAGGAAGGGCTTATTAAGGAGTCTATGGAATACTATAAACACTTATACTCATACACGAAGCAGAGGACCAAGAAAAGAGACGATACCCCAGCACTATACGAAGACAGCGATACTACGTAATTAGTAGGAGACAACTGTTGTGAAGCTAAGGTATTCTCAAATTACTTTAGCGACGTCTGTACCCTGGAGATGCTCTCTTCAGTTTACGTGACTTCCCCCCACACACACACACTCTGGACACTGTGACCATTAGAGAACCCGATATCTTTGGTCTGCTGATTGAGCGTGAAATAGGCAAATCAACGAGACCCGATGAGACGCGCCCTAGATAACATTATTCAAATGATGGATTTGATACTGTCAGTGTCAACAACAAAACTGTGAAAAGCACCACTGAACAAATATAACCGTTTTTGGATATGAGTTCAATTACTGGAAGATGTAGGTAAGGATAATATGTGACTATCAAGACCTCGCGAATCGATAAGATCTCAATTACAGAGTATGTTATCACTGGTAGCGAAATGAAAGGTAGTTCTACAAATCGACTTGATGTGTTTCATTTTACAACACTCGGAGCATATAGTATGACGAAGTGCACACGAACTACATGAATGAATTTTACCATATGACGAACATTTACCGAACTCGTGCTCACCCTTGTTTACTGCTTTGCAATTCTTCGAGAAATTGATTCTCATGTTTTAATGCAAATGGGGATAATCGTTAATTGAACGCCTGTCCATATGAGCTTGAGTACTAAGGATATTAGGACAACTAAGTACTGTAGTGAAATTCTTGATATCCTGGAATTCAGTTAGGTGTATTGCCTCAATGAATGCATGCATTTGTAGCATTTTGGAATTAACACTTCAGAATTTGTACAAGCTCTCTTACCATACTGGGTATCTTGATACAAACAACCATTCAAACGTTTGGCTGGAATTCGTGTTGGTTACTAAATTTTCGCTACGAGGCTTGTTTCCTTGATTCCAGTGTAAACTCGTCAACCTTATTATCCTGACCAATCATCCTATGAAATTTTTCTCTTTCATGGCATTAAAAATTTATATACTACACGTGACCTGGTAGTACTTTGAGAACTTTATAGGGAAGTGACATAGACTTATATGAAAATGCCAAATTTTCTGTAAGCTGCTGGCATTCATTACGACAGGTGCATTGATATGTGCCACAGTTATGGCTCATAAGATTAATCGTATCATATTTAACATCTTTCCTGGTCGGTTTCGAAATTTTCCATGTAATTCTGAAGTTTCGGAACTTGAATGAAAAACCCAACTGTCCAATCGCAGGTCCCATCGCGATCCCACTATGAAAATGTTACGTATTCGAACTGATCTGCAAACCAAGAATTCCCGGAATAGTCCAATTTAAGGCAGGTGGATTTAGGTGAACACACAAATATCGGTATAAAGAGTCACCAAACACATATGCGCCACACAAGTCACTTAATTTGTGTGTAGACTGTGATACTACCTGGGTGTCTAAAGCGGAGCAGGTGGTTTTCTTAAGAGGCCACACCCCGAGTCTTCGACCTGAAGGTCTGATCCACAAGGCAATGAAGCAACTTTAGGAGAGGCTGTCTCATGGTAGCCGGTGACCAAAAATTGGTTCACACGCCATTTGTTCCCTCAGGATCTTGGAGCTCATGTACACCATAGGTTTGTAATAAGGGTTTTCCAACTTTCCTAGGTGGATCCTCCATGTCCATTCGACTGAACTTACTGTATTTATAGTTCGCAATAATCGCTCTATCAGGCACAGAATAATCGTCAGTTTATACAAATTCCATAAAAATACATCGTATACAACCCACAATTCTAATCGGTCACTTTAGGGACAGTTCAAGGTCGTTACACACAGCCGTACTCGAATTGCTTTAGGGGGATGTTCGATTTCAGGCTTGTTTCTGTCTCACGATGTTCGCAACATCTGCCGTTCTCCACCGCTCTACATAGCGTAGTATTAAATCAGAAGTAGGGTCTTCCTCACTCACAAACTGGTTTTTGTTGGCAACTGCCAAATGGTAGAGATTTAAATCTTTACCAGTCATGTGTTACCATATGTATTTAACATAATTATACTAATCATTAGCAGTAATAAGTAAACTATCCTGAACATTTTCACTTATAATTTCACTTATGATTTACTTTAGCCATAGGTCTGAGTAACTAAACTGGTATATTGTTTCCCATCCCCAGCTTTTTAGGCCTTTTCTCTTTTTATACTGATTAACATCGAAATTTTCATTTTAGAGCATGCATGTTTTTAAATCAAACACCGTAAGCATTTTCGGAAGTATGCGCTAATTGCCTCTTAGTTACAATCCAATAATGTGTCAGTTTCTATGCTAATACGTACTTTGATATACACGTGTATATCAAAGTAGTCCGTTAATTATAACCTGTATTTTCTAAGCTTCCCGAAAGTCGTCCATTTAAGTCTACTTGTACATCCCAAGTATACTGATAGAAAATTTAAGTAATAAGACCTTATATTTATTGATGCGACTGTCAGTCTAAATCTACCTCTCAACTATGGTTCCTCATGTGCAGACTGACCTGCTTTTATTTTGATGCACTAATTAGTGTGCAGTGAATACTGACTAATCGGTATATTTTTGTTTAGAGTATGAGATGCTTGCACAGTTATTCTGAATATAGTGGCGAAATCATGTTGACTCAATGATTAGAGACTTTAACAAGTTACCGAGGGTCAGAGTTCTTGGGTGTCTCGTACTCATTTTTAGTGTAAAGGTCTTAGACTTAGCCATGGTGTTAATCTGGCTGTAAAGAGTTGGATGTACATCGGGTCACTGGAATCAGTTCCGGTTCTTAACTATGGAACATGACCTATTCTAGGTAAGGGCGTTTGATTACTGTGAGTTTCGTAATCGTTGTCCCCGAAGGATTGCTTACATTAACAAAAACAATAGTAAGATAACTTCAAGTAGCAGCAAAATACTTTTATATTTCAACTCCTGTTGTGCCAAGTTTGTCACAGTTTATTTAATTTTCCATTTAACCTCCTGTAACTTGCCGTGCTTTTCCTGTAACTAGTAGTTCGAGTGTTAACATTTAATCGTTTAAGGATTCAAGTAATTGGATAACAGTGGCTTCATGTATTTCATAGTGTTTTACAGAAGTTCTAGTTGCTATTTTTTACTTTTTCAACGTATTTCTTACAGATGATTTAACAATTGTTCGGAATATCAAAAGTCTCATGTCCCTCTCATCAGACCGCGCAAGATGTCTTGCAGTTACTTTCCGTCAGCACGTACAACCGTCACGCTTTACTTTGCATGTGTTTGATTTGTTTATTTCCTTCAAGTATATCAACGTCACACATCAACATAATTCATGGCTTTTTCAAGCTATCCAAAATTGTTATCTTATTGGTCATGTTGAACCATACTTATTATTAATAGGTGGATCTTCCGCACATTTGCAAACCATAAAGTTATCATGGGATAGAGGTCAACTTAAATCTCCTTTTGGTTTCTCAATTAACTCAGTGTGTATGTTTTCAGTTAGTTTGTAGTTACTTTTCTTTTTTAAACGTATCAGATATGACGTGGTTCATAATACATTCTGTTGATCACATATAGTATTCGTGAGAACTTATACCTAATATCCTTTTAACGATGGCATCTTTATTTTCCTGATTGTATAATCAAGTAAAATTAATTCCTTAAAGCTGTTGGTGACCAAAAGTACTCAGCCTTATATATTCTTCTGTTCATAGCTTTAATTTACAACCAAAAAGTAGTCTGATAGAATATTTTGCTGTGTACGCTAATCTTGCTAAACAGGTCGAACGTTCCGCTAGGTCTAAGGACAGCGTTTGTTGACAAATCTCGAATAACTGCCCGTTTAGTCATTTTAGTTTTCTCTGTTAGAGCATATTTAAACAAAACCAGAGATTTGGGTTCATTAAAAGAAATAACACATTATTGTACAAACCCGATAGTACTGATCATAATAGCTTTTCAAATATCTACAAACTAAACATGATACTGTTCCGTCTGGTGGAACTTTTTACACCTCAAGGATTTTAAGTCGCTAATATTTAATTATATTTGGGATAAAGCAACTCGTATGATGTATTTATCAAATTCATATCCTGATAACTAAAACGAATTTGTTTGCTAGTTGATCTACAGTTTTTGATTGCGATCATGAAACGATTGATGCTAAACCGCCATTGAAAACCTGAAAGCACTGGACGACCGTTTCGTCCTATTGTCCGACCATCTTCCACTGTATTGAAGTAGATACCTCTTTCTACCCGACACGGATTAGCTCCATTGATCGCGGCTTCTCACTAGAACTCCGAGAGTTCCATCATGAAGCTGGTCACTAGTGAGCACATGGTTAGATGCCGGCTCAGTGGTCTAGAGGTTAAGCGCTCGTGCTCGGGACAAGGCCCTGGGCTGAAATCCCGCGAACGCGATCGTGTATACACAGTGCTGAAGAGTCCCACAATAGGACGAAACGGTCGTCCAGTGCTTTCAGGTTTTGAATGATGATATAACATCAATCAGTTCATGGTCTCAATCAAAAACATAATAATCTCTACAGCCCCATACTGATGATCTACAGTTGCTTACACGCAAATAATCACATATTTTTCATTATATATTCCATACAGCAGCGGATGATTTACTCCTTAAAACATTATTGTAAGTGAATAGTTGTTCAGTCTTCCGATATCCGAGTGCTGATAAGCTGTAAATAGATAGAAGTACACTATGGATTACATTGTAAATCTACACATTTTTTATTATCATAACTATGGAACTGCTCAACCATTTTCTACTAGATACCGTTAGCCCCTTACTCGAAATCAATATTTTAGATGCGTAATTAGCTCCTTGCTAACTTAATACAAAAATAACGGACGCAATGGTTTAATAACTATCTTGGTGGGTAACTTGTTCGTAATTTCTAAGCCGCCATTATCTGGTAGAACAGCCTTTCGTAAAATCCTAGTTGTCTAGTGGAAACTGAGAATAAATAAACAAGCAATTTATTTGATAAGTATGTCAAAAGTTCCAAGCTACTTATACGTTTACCATTCTTAAGGAATTTGAGTATATATCATAAATTTCAGCAACCTAGCATTAATTTGCTTTCAAAATTACTTTTTCCCTGTATGCGTCGGAGTAATGTGCAAATGTAAACTTCAACATTGGAATACAGAACAGTGATTCTTGTTTGAAACCGTACTCAAGAACATTAAACAACTTGCCGTACCTATTCATTTCCTCCTAACTTATTTATATTATTTTACCCATGTACCGTATACCATCACATATGATCAGTTTTATTTGTTCATTATGCTAGGAAATTGATTGGTTATGCATTCTTGTCTTAGAGTTTATAGCAGTTAGAATTGTTTCTATACTACCTGTTTATATGTTGCGACCCTTCTTATAAATTCTAAGATTGATGTTTATACTTATAGCAGATGTTGGTTCTTGGCTGTTGGAGACTTCTCAGTTTAATGCGATGCGTTTAGAGGAAGTTATCTGTCAACTAGTTTGGCAAGTTACACAATCTGAACCTAGTTGTTCAGTGGAACGTCTAGTCAAATATCTTGAAGACGTATATCGTGGCATACAGCTTCCTGTCCCTTCACTAAATGATGTGAATAATTCTTTGGCCGTCTTAACTCAAGCTGGAGCGATATATTTTAGCGGTAATTAAAATTCTGTTATTCTTGTGTATTAATTCATGACTGAGTGTCTAACTAGTTTGTTTTATTTATTAATGAATCAATTTTTTATATTTATTTAAGCGGACTAAGTTTACATCAAATGTATAGATTATATTTGAATAGTTTCAAGGATAGGAATTTAAGTAATTTGTACTTATATGGATTTATTTTTAAACTAATTCTGATGTAACACGTTAACATTAATTATTTGCAGAGTAAAGTTGTTGACTGACATTCGAAGCTATAGATCTATTGCACGGCAGAGTATTTAGCTGTAAATTAATTTTTCACCAAGTTTAATGACATTTTTGTATTTTCATCATAACTTTATACTCTCTCGCGGCTACTTGGAAGTTAATTTGGTGAAGATTATATATGAACTCAGTATTAGATCAATAGTTCTTTATAACTATTTATGACAGTTTAGTTTGTAAACGCTTTAATAAAATAAGAATATGAAAAGAGCTCCATGATTAAAGTGGTAAAGATCCAAATGATCAGATTCATATGAAAATAAGTAATGATCTGAACGAACAAGAGTTTTTATTTAAGGAATCTGGTAATCCTTATTGATAGTGTGAAATCACCACCCAACAACGTTATCTGTTCTGTGAAACTATGCGAATGGATGTCAAAGGTTTTATGACGTGTAGCAAACGATATTTTTCATAAATCTCACCTTGAATTTTCAAGCGGATTAAGGTGAAATCATTTCCGTTAGTCGCTCAAGCATTGCTTCCGATTAAGAAACGATCATGAAGGGTAATATGCTAGCCCGGAAATTAGTCACCAGCCTTTGTTATCACCTGTAAACTGTAAGTGACTGTTCAGTTTTTCAGATCATGAGTATATACATTTAGATATTTTACTGAGTTTATGTATTTATAGTCCCATCGAGTTTTTTATACATTGAAGTTGAGAGTTTGTGGCGTGTCGAATTTGAAGCCAATTTTTATCACGGACTAACATCAGGACCATTGTGAGCCACAGGTACTCGTCTACTGTTTCGTCCTAGATTAAAATTCCTCAGTTTTCTTATGGCTAGGGATTTTATTTATGTATACGTGTTGTGTTTCATACTTATTCTTAGTCATGTTAGGTTTATATCCATCTGTTTCCTTTCTTCCTTATTTCTCTATGTACATTTATACATCCAACTTAGGTCACGGATACAATCTTCTGACACCTGAAAAGTTAGCCGTTGCAAAATGGCTTGAAAGTATACCGGAAACATGTACAGACACTGAAAGTGTCTTGGATTACCCTATTTTAAAAACGGCACCTCTAGCAGAAATAGAGCCATTTGGACGAAATGCATCCTTATCTGATCCAGTTAACCGTTGTGATCTTGTTCAAAACAACGACCAACTTCGCAATGCTAAACATAAAATTGGAAATTCTACATATTATCGAAATGCTAGTGCTCTGGTGCCAGTTCCCGAAAATCTAGAACTAGAACATTTGCTCAGGTCTTTCAGTGCTCATTCCATAAGTTCATATCACCTTCGACGTAATCACATAAATCATTGCAACCCAGTTGTATTTGTTTCACCTACCAATAGTTTAAAATATCTCAGTTCCCAGTTCCCCTCAACTTATAAAACAAATGACATCAATAGTAATTATGTTATGAAATCAGCAAGAGAAAATGTTAGTAAATTTAGTTCAGCTGGTGTGAGTAATTCTCTTAAATCACATACAGCTCGATCTGAAATCAAACTCCCACATCATTCACAAATGGAAACACCATTCACCAAATGTACTAAAATACCATCAAACAAAAAATGTAAGTTATTTTCCGTAAATTAACCTACCAGACAACCTTCAACTTTTTTGGGTTTTAATAAATGATTTTGAAGTATTATATATATACTGCCTACGCAGTGGATTGTATAATTCCTAGTTAATATTTGGATAACTCATAATTGTAAGTATTTCTTTAGAAATGATTGTGGTTGACATTTATCTTGGGGCATTTCATCTTTGTACTTTGAGTGTCTACATTATTTAAGCGAAGAGTTTCCAAACTCAAGTTCGTTGTCATTAACTTTAGCAGCAACTAATTTAGATGTTTGCAACGGTAATTATCGTAAAGAAATTCTTTCTATAAGCCTACTTCTATAAATGTGAATAGTCCTCCTGAATTGGATACTGTTCAATGCGTTCATTCGAAACCTCGTTTATATTTATTATCTTCATAAAATTTATGTTGGTCAAAGAGAATTAAAATTCTCTCAGATCAACGATGTATTTATGATTAACATTATTCAGTGATAAAAAAATACTAAAGTACATTCACAATAATCAATTTACTATCATACAATCCATTAGTTAGTGTTGAACAAAGCATAATATCCGTAAATAGACCGGTCCTTTATAATAATTTATAGTTCATTTTGACAGATAAAAGTATTTTTTTTGTAAATGAATCCTTTGGCTTTTAAAGACTTCTTCAGTACTCTAACAAAAACGTTATTCACTTGTTTCGATGGGCTTTAGTAAATATAATAGTGGTCTCTCTCCCTCTTTTATTTAAGGGCATCATTTTGTCTCTAAGCAATTATATGATCAATTAGTTTTTTATTGGTAGCAATTCACTCATAAGCCAGTTTCTTAAATGAATTTTCATATATATATATATATATATATATATATATATATATATATATATATATATATATATATATATATTGACCTAGATTATATGAGATTGATTTGGTGTTAAGATTTTCGACTTAACTCTATCCTGAGATTAAAAGTCCTACATCCTTACAAAATTTTATCGTGAAAACATTCCAGCTTTACTTGAATAAATATTAATTTACAGACTTGTTGCAATGACGATATATAACGCTCTTGTCCGGTTATATACATGGATGTCTTAAAATTAATAATTTTATTCAAAACAACCATACTGTCAAGATAGTAGAACGCATTTCCCCTCTTTTCGTTTGTATTTATCATCATCTTATTGTCTGTGTAATATTAATTACTGCTATGTATTCGATTTTCCTCCGCAATCAATATTATTAGGTTACATCCTTCGCTTTTTATCCGGTTGGTTTCCTCTCTCTATGTACTGATATAGAATGTGTAGCAACTTGGAACAGTACATATTCCTGGTAGGTCTTACATTACCTATGACCAACATACTATTAGATTGACAATATTGACAGCTAAATATTTAGTCAATTCCTTATCAAAAATAGGGAGTAATACAGAATACCCCTGAAGCGAAATCATGCTTATTTACACTTTGTTATCAACAGTGCCAAATACTCGTTTAATATTTTCTTTAAAAAAAATTAAGTTTCTGTAAGTTTACCGAATAGATATATTATGGAAATACGTTTATTTTATGATTACAAGAAAGGCGTAAAAAGTATATTTCAAATTTCTTCTTGATTATTTTGAAATAGCCTATTACACAACAATTTTTTTGTTAATAATACCAGGTAGATCCTGTCCCCTGATTTGTAAACTTCACTTGCTTACCATATTGCGGTAAATTAATAGATATTTTATCTTTTATTAAATAAATACTCTGGTAAGATTAATGGTAGTTTTTGGGTCTAAATATGTAGTTCACACTACAAGCGTTGCCTTTTTAATTTTACTTTGTTTTATTTTCGCATCATATTTTAATGTGTGTGCCACTTCCGTGCTCCGTTTTCATCTGTATAAAGTCTATATGAGGTAAGTTTTAAAAAGGAATTCCTAGATAGATCATTAGATTTATCAGTCACCTCCTGTTACTTCCGTATTTCGCTGTCACCTACGTAAAACTACAAAACTTTAGATACAAGTGTTCCTTTATTGTTAAGATTAGTTTGTTTTATCAAAATAATGTATATACTAGTATATAGTAATCGATATATTAATAATACACATATTGTAAGGAAATGTTAACGACAATACCCAAAAAGAAGTATATTAAACGAAATATATGTAGACAAACAGGGGAATATATAAAGACGTGAATTGAACTAGTGATTATATTCAACGTTCAGATAAATTAATGATATAATAATGTTATGTTTACGGCTATCTTTTTACTTAAAATATAAGTCAACTTAAAAGAATCTGAATTCGTCTGAGCCTATGGTTCTTAGTTTTGTGTAGTTACACTGACTGCATGAATAATACTAATTAACTTGTGTTAATGGACAATAAATGTTGAAATTTTCATTATTGCTAAACAGACATTGAAAAAAACATTCCGAAAAATATACTTTCATTAGATTGTTGCACCTGTTTTATCATTTGGAATCTTTTACTTGGTCCATTTATAACAAAATCCCTTCACTTTATCACTTTATATTAAAATAAGTCACAAAGATGTTAGTACGCTTTTTTTAATTTGTATATCATTTGACTACATTGTTACCAGTAAATTGAATAAGCGTTTTGAGGCTTATAACGCAAATGAGGCGTAATATTTATTGCTTCTTTTGGCCTCGGATAGAGCGGAAGATATCCGGATAGAAGGCGCAAAATATACTCAGATACAATATTCCAAGTATATAAATGTATATTTATTCAAAATTCGAAGGTTTGGATGTATTGGAATCCGTACACATTATTTTAGCTGCTCTTCAAATGAGTATTTTAAATCATTATAGGAAGCATATATGTATACATTTAACAATGTGACAGAAAATTATTATTTATTTATTTATTTGGACACATGAATATTGGTACAAGAGAGCGCCAATATATATGCGCCACACAAAACACTGAAAATTCGAGAGGAATACAAAGAAAGAAAAAAAAGCTAAGGAGCGCAACAAAAAAAAGAGAGAACAATAACGAAGAGATTGGTGTAAGGTAATGTGCTAGTAATCAGGGAACGCAAAGGTACAATCGGAAGAAATCTTTCAGGTAAGGGAGACAGAACCACATTTTATGAAGAAAGTAAAAGAAGGTTACAGCAGGATCGCCACTGGCTTCTATTCTGAGCCATATCTGATAACGTCTCTAGCCACTGTGTAGCACCATCTCTCAGACCCCAACCAGGGAGTCGTGAAGGACCAACACAAGCCAGTCCTTTGCAGCTTTCTTTCATGCGCGTAATAGGTTAATGTAGAAGTTTTTCTGTACACATCCACTAATGGAACCATTTTTCTTCCTGATAACTATCAGTATCGGGTTGTAGAGATTACTAAGTATTTGATTGAGATCATGAACTAATTGATGCTAGACCAACATTGGAAACCTGGAAGCACTGGGCGGCCGTTTCGTCCTATTGTGGGACTCCCAAACAGTGCGCACCCACGATCCTGCTTGCAGGATTCGAACCCAGGGCCTTCGGTCTGGGATCACTCGAAATTGAGTTTATTTTATCGATGTAATCAGTTTTGCTTATTAGAATTAGCCCTCTTTTACTTGGCTTGCTTATGATCAGCGTTGTATTTTATAAACATATGAAAAGCACCTTGATGCTGTTTGGTAAGTGGTGATTTCACACTTTATTTTTGCATTGTTGGCAGATTTCAACTAACGTGATCTTAAATCTTGTAATTTCATCTAGTGAGGTTGGGACCAAATCTGTTGTTCGTAAAAATGAATCCAAAAACTGAACATCTGTATCTAGTTGATTTATTCTATTCCTATAGTTGCAGAATCTAGGGCCGGTCGATAAAGCCTCTAGTTGTGCTATATCTAACCGAACACTAGGAAAATCATGAACTTACCGCTCTGGGCCCAAAGGGAACCTTTTTGGTTTTTAACATCCAAGTGGTATTATTAGTTTTCTCCATAATTTTTTCGGGTCTGCTTTTTGCTACAATGTCAATATAATCCATGAATTGTGATTTTATTTCTGGTGGAAAGTTATCGAGAGTAGATTTTCTTTGCAAAAGATTTCTTTCCAGATCGATTATGTGCATTTTTCAACAAATCTGTTTGGTTGAGTGCCCATTGTTTAAGGGTTCTGAAATTAGGACAAATCTTGTTCCGACGTTAAGAATTTCAATGTTTTACAATATCTATCAGTCTGTATACAATCATTAATACATCCCAACGAAGTTTTCTAGAACCCTCAAAAAACGGGTACTTTAGCTTGACATAAATTTTGACCACTTAATGTCGTTTCATGGAAGTCGATCCCATTAAAATAGAAGTACTACTCCAGGAACTTAGATCGTTAATACTTTTGGCACATGTGAAAAATGTCTACATTTCTTGAGTTGGTATCAGACGTTTTGTGGAGATTATAGTAATTTCAATAGTTGAGATCATGAGTCATTTGAAGCTATACCACCATGGAAAACCTGGAAGCACTGTATGCGCAGTGCTGAGGAGTCCCAAGACGGGACGAAACGGCCTTCCAGTGCTTTCAGGTTTTCCACGGTGGTCTAGCTTCAATTGACTCATGATCTCAACTATTGAAATTTTCAGAGTTACCTGAAAAAGAAACTGGATCAGTAGTCTTGACAACTTAAGGGACAGTGCTAGAAAACAGTCACGCGATCTTTTACTGCTTTTAACTTGTGAGCATTGCGCTCTTAAGGCATGTATATAATATATATTGTCAAGTTCCACGATGCATATGAATAACCGACTAAAAAACAAGCATATCTCGATGCAACCATAAAGTTAATAATCCCAAGCGTAAAAACCAATCCGATTCATTTATTTATCTGCATCAATGATGTTTGTGGCGTGCTACGTATCTCCCATAATCGCTTATATTTGGGACAAAACCACAGTGGTCATAGCGGAGCATAGTATTAATCCACTAGATCACTGACTGTAAATCTATCGTATGGTGTGATTCCTGCCCAATCTAACTTCCTTTTTTTCATTGAATGCTTCCGAAGTCTTTTTAATTTGAACCACATAATGTTCATGTGTCACTGGTTTTTGCGTGATAGAGTGCAACGATATCGAAGTTCTTTTCGATCACTTTTATTTTATTCTTAAGAAGCTATCAACTCATTATATAATCTCTCTGATAGTCTCAGAAGAAACCTGTGTTCCATTATTCATACGAAGCTGCCGCTAGCAGTTATTGGTTTTTTTTTCATGAGGAAGGTTCCACAAGAATATTAGCTCATTATGTTCCCACGGGTCGGTAGATGGGAATCAATAAATCCTATCCAATTGATCGCACGACAATTTGGTTACCACAAGACCTTAAAAATATGGTTGCCATTTGAAAATAACGATTTCGTTCAACTTCGAAACTCATAATCCTTGTTGTAAAACAACTGTATGAAACTCCGCGTTATCATTTAGAAAAATATCGAGTTTTTAGGATTCTGAAATGATTATTCTTTACCTCATTGTATACCACGACTATTCTAATCGTCTACAATTCAGTTCATTCCCCAGGTTTTTTGAAGTGGCTTTTGGATCGATTTCAACATCTTCGGCTTTCTTGGCGTCCCAGTCGCCTGTCATGCGTTGAAGATCAGATTATGCATCCTCAGAAAGGTAAGACATCTCAAGCAATAAAAACTGCTAAAGATGAGTATTATGTTCCCAGTCATCCTGCAAATCAACCACCCCAAAACCATGCGATATCCTACGATAGCTTTTCTACTAGCAACTTACGAAGATGCTTTAGTTTGTCGGATGGGGGGAAATCGAATAAAACTAACGACCAAATTATAAAGAACTGCAGTTCATGCATGGAAGCATCGTTCTCTTCAGGGATTTTGAATGCAGAAATTAACGGTAAAGGTAGCAGAAAACGATCAAGTTGTCCAAGTAAACAATTACATTTGTCTTCTCAAAAAGACATTCATGGGAACCATTCAGTAGCATCCTTAACTGTTAGCTCATTATCTTTTTCGAAAAATCATTTTCTAAGTCAAAATCACGGTATTAAATCAGTACCACGTCTAATTACTTCACCCCATACTCTGGTGCGTAACTCTTCAAAGAATGGCTCGAACTTTTCTATACAACACAGTGGCCGGACGTCTACTATGCGAGATAGTGGGTTTGTAGAAGGACTACATCGCCCTTTCATATCTGGTTCTTTTATACAATCTAATTTCTCGAAATCCTCCGAAAGTTCCCGTATGCATCATGATCCTAGATCAGATAGTTTGCGAAAAGTGTCTATTAACTCCTCAAATCTTTGGTGGTACATAGGATCCAGCCGCTTGGCACCTTCTATAAAAGCTTCCAGGCCACAATTCATTACTTCTAATAATATGTGAATGTTGTTAAGAAATGCCATTCAAACTATGCTTTCAATTTATTAACTATCAGTCAAAAGTCACTAATCCTGTTACACCTTTAAACAGTTGTATATAGTGTGTTCCTTTGCATTTATCATACTAGTATGCATTCAATAGCTACACTTTTTGTCTTTCCGAGATTTGGATAAACCTATTTTTTGGATGCGCTCAGAACCAAACATACAAATTTCGTAATCGATAACTCATTTTTTTAACCTCTTAATTTAAATTATTTCGAAGAAACTCCTTTACTGCCATTTTTATCTCTGCTTTCTCTTTGCTGCCTTACCATAACTGTATTTTTTTAGAATTGTTTATTAGAAATACAATTGATACAGATAATTAGTTCGGCTCCAATAAATACGCGAACTCTTGTAGTATACTGGTTGATACTTTTCGAAAGCGGCATTATACTAGTCCTCTTCGAGATTAATATGATTTCCGAATTTGCCATAAAGATCTTTCTTTAAATTGTTCATGTGAACTTTGCAGTCGCTGATTCGTTCTTCGAGGTCCACCATTCGCAACTTCACTTTTTCTTTGGCTGCTGAGAGCTCTTCTCCAACTTCATCATTTGACAAGTGGAAAAATGTTTCCCCAATAAGATATCTTTTTACCTTTTAAGGTTGTTTTAGTTAATTACATAATACATATTTATTAGTAAAGTATAATAATACAAATCGACAAATCAGCTGGCCTTATGTGGATATATAATTTGCCTAATTAGCCTTTGCTTACATATATTAAGAACCGGATTAAAAATGTTCCCAAGGTGTCGAGTAAAAAACAAATCCAATGGATTAATTAGCATGTCTTTTATTCATCGCTCTGGAATGATTTAGATGTTACGGTTCTAGATTTAGAAGGAGAAGCCATCAGGTTTTACCAGCATTCAACCATGTAGATCTAACTTGGACAGTTGTTGAGTCTATAGAAGAACAATTAGGGACAAGCCGACCAGCCACATACAAGCACTGTAATGACGTTGACAATTAGTGCTTAGAAGTTCCTTTAAAGAAGGAAAATGGATGATAGCCGGAGGTAACGAACAACCTCCATGAAAATAAGCTTAGTAATTTTACACAAGCTTTAAGTGACTTATCCATGATCTACACACCAATTTTGTAGTGTGAATTCGTAACCTCGTAGGTAATTATAGGAAAAGTGAGTGTAAATGAAGTATAATGAGGGCGTCATATGTCAGAGAACACATAAGTTAACCACTAGAGGTGTTTTGAGTATCCAGAAGTATGTTTTTGAATGTGAAATCACGAAATACGCTACTTCTTGGACTTCACTTCTGCAAATCTTGGAACAATGAGACAGGGTGTCTTACATCATGACCCAAACATGACAGAACATCGTGAAAGAGCTACCGTACGTCTGTTCTGCTTCTAAAACCCCGCAAATATGATTATTGAGATGGTCATAATTAATTCAAGTGAGCTCTCCTAAGCTTTGAGAACAAGGTTTGAAAGAATATTGGTCCAGTGGTTTTTAACGGTCAGAACGCATGTTACATATCACAAACTAATATAAGCAACGTTGTACACAAAATTAGGACAATGGAATCAGAAGTACGTAATTAGTGAACGCAGGATCCACATAGACTTCCAGTGACATAAAGTGTGACTTATACATAACTAAATGATTCTAGACGAAATAAAAGCTTTCGCTTAACAGGCTTTCGTAACTAGCAATAGTGGATCACCGGCGTGTCCAGGTAGGAACCTAATTATATTTAACAACGAAAAGAAAGAAATAAGTAAATTATAGCGAGATATTGTCTTTAGAAATTAGTCAGGTTTTGTCTTGAAGGACTCATAGTAAGGCTCTTTGACTACCTTAGCTGGCATCAGATCCCAGAACTTGATCACTCGTAATAAGTAGAAAGTATGCCTACAATCCATTCTGCTACGTATCTCTAATTTCTGAGTGTTACCCTTAAGGTTTGTGTTAAGATTAAGCTTAAGTAGGTAGTTAAAGTGGTTCCCAGGGGTGCTTGGAACACGTCACTAGTTCATTTCTGCGATGTCTATACCCTAGTGAGTTAATGTTAAGTAATTTGAGGTGCTCGTCATAAGGCTTGAGTTTAAGTCCCCGAACTGATTGCGTGGCTCATCGTTGGATACGTTTCAATGTACTCTAGTCCTTTCTGAGTGAGGGAGCACTATGTTTTTATACTCTAAGTAGGGTCAAGTAGAACTGTTAAACTTAGTGGAGACTTCTGCCGTCGAACTGGTCAAAAATGCGCCTTAACGCATTTGTCACATTGTATGCTACAGGTAACAACAAAACGGCATCCAGGTCGCTTACACGAGTTCACCATGACCATGGTGAAATGTGGGTTGTTAGGTAGATCCTATAAAGGTTTGCGACCAAAAAAACAAAAAGAAATACACAGAGAGAGTGGAATGGATAAACAGATGGTACAAGAGTTTAGGACATACTAAAACTAGCAAATCACGTTTGGACTAAGTTTTCCATTCGTAGAGCGCGTGCTCCCAGATAACTGCGAAGAGTTAGATGGGAGCTGGTGGGTATTTGAAGAAGCAAATCAGAGTAACAACTATGATTTGCAGTTATTATTGAGGCTAGTGCATGGTTCAATACATCGACCACTATGCATAATAAATTTATGTACATGCAGGGATAATATAAAAAATAAACGGACGTCAAGAGGATACGGGTGTAAGCTCTCCTGGACGACAACTAACTCATCCTCAGCATCATTCAGATTTGCCAGCTCTTTCTAAAATTCATTGTTACATACAGAACAAAATATATTCACACTTTTTTTTGGTCGTAATCGGATGTATAATCTTTAAATTTTAAGTTCCACGTTGCAAAGCTGTTTATCCTTTGTTGATCCTCATGCGTTACTTCAATATCTTCCTAGCTACAGTATCAAAACAAGCACTTGACGTACCGACATCGCGAACCAACAGGTGACCTTGAGTGAACAAACTCACCTCTTCAAACTTCAGTGGTAGGAATCAAGAGTTGACTTATATTAAACAAATAGTTGTGAACGCATTGGAAAAAGCTTTCAATCATCAGGCTTTCGTACCTTATAACAAAGGAACACATATAGATCATTTTTGTCAATTGCACTTACTTTGTTGTTGCTATCACGTTCCAACCGTTAAATATGTGCTTAAGCGTCTGAAATAATAATTCGGGAACTACGTCGTCCAGAGAGTGAAAAATAATTCTTGGTTATGTGGTGCGGAATAGCAAGTCAAATTTTGAACTGGACGTTCTCGTTATTTCTTCATAGCACATAAAAACCTGTGCAGTTTGAAATCCCAATGGGCTACCACGTTAAGTTGTGGGTGGATTAGTCAGAAATTTACTTAAATTTTCAGAAGTAATGCGCCGGTTCAGCTACATATTGCTATCAATACTGCCAGGTAAAAAAATTTACGGGTTGTTAATGACGAAATTCCTTCAAGGACTAACACAGGCCATCTGTCCTTCCCGAACTGAAACTGATCTTAATTCTTTGTCAACAATCTACTTAAGGTATGTGAGCTTTCTAGGCACTACTGCATAATGCGAAGACGGATCCTTGTGAAGTGGACATTCCAGGATGTATCGGAGTCATTAAATATCGTCCAAACTTTGCTGGCTAGTTTACAACATGAATCCCTCACGACTCACTTAACTCAAACTGCTCTGTCACAAAAAAGATAGTAGTATATTGGGAAATCACTGGGATAATCAACAACTATTGTGACCGATCGGTTTCAGTAACTTAGATAACTTCGCAACTGTTCAACGAATAACTGAATGCAAAATCAGCGTAAGGATAGCACGCTTTCTCCATGATAATATGGATGTTTATGTATTCATATTCCCCATCAGTTTTTATTATTGTGAACCTTTGGCTATATCTGAAGCAATAATGGATATATCAACTCAGCCCATTGTAAATAGATGATTTTTGGTGGCAATTTCTTGTAACATCGGCTATTTATATTCCCACTTCTCTTAGTTTCACTGAAATAATACATGTCGATATGAAGTCCAGCACCTCCTTCCCTAATAAAAAATCATGCATTGGAGTGCCCGAAACATAACACTCGTCTGTTGTAGTACATTGGAAGAAAGTACTAAAAGTTTCCCTTATCATTTTCTGACATAATCAAAGTGGTAGGGAAGCGACGATTATCAAGAGAAGGATTTCTTATGTGGATTTCAAAATGGTCCTACCTAAAACTACGTTGCTAAGATTTATATGTGGTATGGGATCACTTTAGATATATCGTGGCACTAAATGACAGATCCCCATACTAAATCATATAAACGGAGGTACACCACTCACGACAGTCGGTTTATTACCACAAATAACAACCGACCAACACATCGCAAACCCGATGGCAGATGCTAAGCGTCGTAGACTATGATTTCCCGGAAGAAGCTGGACATATCAACCTAATGTTGACCGAAGGGAGATACGACACCAGTGCCCACTTGGTCTATGGTTATGAACGTCTTCGATAACATACGTTAATTAGGTAAAGACAATACCCTAAGAGACCTCTCATTATCAGCTATCTCAGCGGAATAGTAGGACCAGGAGGCCACGACTTAATATCTAGAAGTACACATTCTAATATGTCATCGATTAAGACCCTAATGGCAAATCAGTCAAGAAACCAAGCATGATCGATTTTCAGAATACATACACAGCATGGTTACTGATGTACCTTACACTTGACTACGCAATCGAAAAATACTAACACAATGGTGGAAGTTGTAATTCCACTTCGACACCCCCAACATTTTCATCCCAGATCTTGACTGTTAAGAAGACGAACCGGTGTCAGAATATACACAATCAGAAATTAGCATTTATAACACGGACTCTCTTCGGCGATTAAAAATTACGCCATAAGACGCGTTTTTTTACTGAATGTACCTCAAGGATGAGAAAAATACATTCAGAAATCTGCCAGATTACAATAGAAAAAAGT